CCCTTTTGGGAATACATCCTGTAACATCCTTATCTTTTGAACTTTCTGCAATACTAGCTTTTAGAATTTTTAAGTCTTTTTCATCTTTATAGACTTTACTCTCGAGAAATGAAAAAAATTGTTTATCGGAGGATAATCTCTTAAAGGCATCTTCAGCTTTGTATTGCAGTTTTTCAAAAGCTAACTTTAGTTCAAAAAAGGTCATAGAAGAAAAGTTGTTAGGATATGCTTGTCTTACTTGTTTGTTGTGGTTGTCTTTCTTGTTGTAGAATTGACTTTTCGTATGTGCCATCAGACATAAATTTGCACTTTCATCACTACAACTTGAACTGTCATCGTCTGATGAATCGCTGTCGCTTTCCCATGCAATATAAGCTCTTCTTTGTTTGTTGAACTTCTTTGGTGGAGCTTTTTCCTTATCCTTTTTCATCTTTGGACAGTCTGGTTTGTAGTGTCCAACTTAACCACAATTGTAACAAGGTCATTTACCTCTTTGATTTTTTATTTTCTTCTTGCCTTGGTTCTTTGGATTGTTTTCGAAAGCTTATGAGATTCTTATCGGAGTGCTTGATTCCATTCTTTCTGATAAATCTATTGTATCTCCGAGCAAAAAGTCCCATTTCTTCATCATCAGAATCTTCATCACTAGTTGAGCCATTTTCATATTGCTCTTTGGTTGAGGACTTAGAGCTAGAAGTCATTAGAGCTATTGACTTCTTCTCACCCTCCTTGTCTTTGTTCCTTTCTTTCTTACTCTTATTTTCGTATTTCTCAAGACTTTGCAATTCTTGTTGATGTTCTTCCAGCTTTCCAAACAGAGTTGTAATGGTAAGCATAGTGAGGTCATTTGCTTCCTTGATAGCTGTTACTTTAGGTTGCCATTCCCTGCTAAGACATCTCAGAATTTTATTAGTAGCAATTTCATTGGAAACAGGTTTTCCAAGTGCATTTAAACGACTCACAAGATGTACGAATCTCTTCTGCATGTCAGAGACAGATTCTCCTTGCTTCATGCGAAAGAGCTCGAACTCTTGATTGAGTGTATTAATGCGGGATTGTTTAACTTCAGTTGTGCCTTCATGGGCAATTTCTAAAGCGTCCCACATTTCTTTAGAGGACGTGCAGTGAGACACCTTACAATACTCATCAACACCAAGTGCTGAGATCATCATATTTCTGGCTCTCCAATCGCACGACCATTTCTTTTCATCCATTTCATTCCATTGATCCTCAGGTTTAGGTACTATTGCACCTGCATCATTCCTCATGGTGATTTGAAAAGGACCATTTTGAATGGCAGTCCATACATTCCTGTCAATGGAATTTATGTGTACTCGCATGCAGTCTTTCCAGTAGCCATAGTTTTCACCATTGAAAACAAGAGCTCTATTATACGCTCCATTTGGTTCAAAGGCCATAACGTTACGAGTAGATACAAAGCACCAGCTAATCGGTGCTCTGATACTACTTGTTAGACGGTGTGGCAAGTGATCGAGGGGGGAGGGGTGAATAGATCACTTTTTCTTTTTCAAGGATTTAAAATAGTTTTATCAAAAAGAGTTGAAAGCAGCGAAAATCAATGTCCTGAATCAATTCCGTCTACTTTGAACCGACTACTAGAAAGCTTGACATGTGAAAACTTTGCTGGATTTTTATTAAATCGAATGGATGAATATACAACTCAGAAATCTTGGCGTTTCAATGCACTTATCATAAAACAGTATTTCCAATGAATTTAGAAAATTTGATAGGAATTTTGTCAAAAAATTGGCGTATGCTTGTATAATGATTTAATAGTGGTGGTTTGGTAAAAATGTTTGAGCCACTATGTTTATCATTAGACTGTAAAACTTAGCACACCAATTGAATTGCAAAATTATAGAATATGTAAAACTATAAAGAGAAAGAAAGAGAGAACGATACACAAGCAATTTGGTAAGGAAGTTCCCCATTGTCGTCCTCGCGTGTGGGTACGTCTCCCTCTCAATTTCACAATCGAAACTGAGAACTTTTATATCAATATTGCTGAATGTTTGATAGCAAGGTTACACTACACAGAAAGCAAGAAATCCTTATGATCTTCTTCTTCTTGTAAGAACCACCACTTGATAAGAGTTGTATCAAGATTCCCTGCAAAGTCACCGAACGATCCTCCGCTTCCACGACCTGTTTGTTCAAAATCCTTCCGATTTCCAAACCCCTCGCTACGGCTAAATCCGACTCGCGTGACCGTGACTGACAAAACCCTCAAGAACACACCCGTTCTTGAAGGACAAACCTTCTGGTTTATTTCTTGAAGCTTCCTCTTCAACCTTCAACTCAGCTAGACTTCTTCAATATTCAGCTGAACGTTATCTCAAACCGCTTGATTCAATGCAACAAGGATGTTTGATTTTCTTTGTTGTTGTTGAATGAAAGAAGGTTGAGAAGATGATGAAGATGAAAGAATCAAAAGCTTATGGTTGCTCACAATTGTTTTGCACACAATCTTCTATGCTGCTATATGTTTTTTGAAGAAAATGCTTGCTTATATTTATAACAGAAAACGGTTAGTCAAAAAAGAAAGTGCATGAGTCGATGCATGATGGTCATGTGTCGACTCATGTTAGTTACATGTAACAGGATGAGTCAATACATTATGTTTTGAGTCGATACAAAAACCTGTTATAGCGTTTTACAGAACCAACACTTTTATACCCTTCGACACATAATGCGTATGTGTCGATACATACTGATTGTAAATTTAAATTTTGAATTTAAAACATAGTATGCGTCGACACATGATATTATGTATCGATACATATAAGTTTCAAAACGTTTTCCAGGATCATCAGAATGTTTTGTGTCGATACATAATGCGTATGTGTCGATTCATACAAGTATTACAGGAGCATCAAAATATTATGTGTCGATGCATGAAATTTATGTATCGATGCATGTAGTTTTTAGATTCACATTCCAGGATCATCAAAGAGTTATGTATCGACTCATAAGCTTTTGTATCGATACATAATAGTTTTGAGATACAAGTCCAAGGACTTCAGAAAGCTATGCATCGATACAAAACTTGATGTGTCGACTCATAATGATGCATTATGAGAGAAATGTAATTTTGGCTTATTCAAACATGTTATATTATATTTGCAATCATTCAAAATCAATCTATGAAGGGGTTGCTCACATAAACAACCAGCTGGGTTTGTGAAACATGACGAAGAAAGAAAGGTGTACAGGCTACATAAAGCCATATATGGATTGAAATAAGCTCCAAGGGCTTGGAATAAGAAAATTGATAGTTACCTAAGGGAGAAGGAATTTGTGAAGTGCACAACTGAACATGGAGTATATGTAAGAAGAAGCAAGAGTAAATTGCGTATACTATGTCTCTATGTAGATGATTTGTTGATAACATGTAGCTGCAAGAGTGAGATCGAAGACTTCAAAGGTGATCTCAGCAAGGAATTCGAAATGTCTGATTTGGCTGAGATTTTATATTTCCTTGGAATCGAATTCTACAAGAGCAGTAGAGGTTTGATGATGCATCAAAGAAGATATGCAGGAGAAATTCTCAAGAGGTTTGAGATGGAAGAATGCAACTCAAATTCGACACCTGCAGAACTAAGACTGCAACTGTCGAAAGATGAAGATGAAGATGATGTTGATCCAACACAATACAGAAGACTTATTGGATCATTGAGATACCTTTGTCATACAAGGTCTGACTTAGCATATAATGTAGGTATGGTAAGTAGATTCATGCAGAAGCCAAATGTATCACATCTAGCAGCAGTGAATAGGATACTAAGGTATCTCAAAGGAACTTTCGATTATGGCATTTTGTTTCCTGCAGCTGATAAAGGAAAAGAATGCAAGTTAGTGGAATACACTGATTCGAGTTGGTGTAGTGATGATGAAGATCGAAAGTCAACAGCAGGATATGTGTTTATGCTAGGTGGTGCACCAGTTGCTTGAAATTCAAGAAAGGAACCAGTAATGACATTATCATCATGCGAAGCAGAATACATAACTGCTTCTCTTTGTGGATGTCAAGCAACTTGGATGGTGAACTTGGTCGAAGAGATAACAGGGAAAAATCATGGGCAGTTACCATGAAGATAGACAATATGTCAGCTATTAATATGGCGAAGAACCCAATAGCACATGATCGAAGTAAGCACATCGAAATGAGGTTCCATTATCTTCGAGAGTAGGTAGCAGATGAGAAGATGAATTTGGAACACTACAGAACTGAGAATCAGATTGCAGACATCATGACGAAGGGAGTGCAAGTCAAAGTATTCAGAAGACTAAGAGTCATGATGAACATAGATAGTTTAGACACAATGAATTAGATGATGTGTTAAATTGTAATTCAGTGTATCGAAACTATGTGTCGAAAAAATTTGATTTATTTTAGATTTAAATATATTTGATTTAAGTTTAAAATATATTAGATTTGATTTAATAACAAAATAGATATTTTAGGTTTTGAGCCTCAGTTATAAATAAAGGGAGTAACCTAAGCAAGTCAAGCAAGTCGTTCACAGTATTTTGCAGTTGCAAAGTGAATAATAAAGTTTTCACAGTTTGTGAGCAGAGAAAAACTATGCAGAAATTATTTGTCTTGTCTTCTTTTTTATTTGTCTCATTATTAAATTGTTATTGTGATAAAAATTCATCATAGACTTTAGTAGATTTCCATCATAAGTCACTACTCATTCACGTTTCTTTTTCTTATCTTGAAATCATACACTATTCTTCTTTCAGTTTGCAGAGAAATCATTTTCTATCTTCTATCCAACATTTTTGCTCAGCTTTTCTATTTCTTCTATCACTTCCTTTCCAGATTTATCTCAAACACACAAGCCTCAATAGATTTAAAAAAAAAAAACGAAACAACGAAAGGAAAGAAAAGGAATATCGGCCCGAGTTACGCCGGTGATGGAAGGGTGTCGGCCGCAGTGGTGCAGTTGGTTGCTTGAGATCTGTCGTAGGTGCTCTTAGAGGTCTTGATCGCGACCCTCTGGTGGTGGTGGTTCTGTGTGCGACGACATGTAGCTGGTAAGCGGTCGATCGGAGCAGGTTTGGTGCGGCCGTGACCGGCTGAGTGCGGAGATGCAGCGAATCAGAGGTTGAACGGAAGGTCGTAATCGGAGGGTGCTTGGAGTTTTGTTCGATTTCACTAAAGTTTGTTGGTGCTTCTTCTTTTCAATTTCCCTTTCAAGTTGTTGTTTTTCTTTTTCCCTGCAATGAAACAACAAATTATATGCAAATACCTAGAAAATAATATATCACAGAATAGCACATGAAAGTGACAAATTTTGTGTAACAAATTACAAGAGTTTTCTATGTTAATGTGTAAACGTGAGTTAAGCATATGTACATAAGATTTTTTTTTACAAGTAAAAGTGGGTATTGAAAATTAAAGGTTTCTTTTGGTAAAATTATTTGGTACATGGATGATGTTAAGGTTGACAATAATGGTTTTAAAGATTGTGAAAATTATGAGGGAAGTGTTGTGCAAAGAATTGGTTGAATTTGGAAGGACTCTGTAGTCTTTGTTGAAAGATCAAACGTTAAAAAAAAAAGTCCCTGGGTAAATTTTGTGACCAGAACAAGGTTTTCTTAGTGTAAAAACTGAATGGTGTAATTTGATGTGTATATTAGGTGAACGTATCTGCAGTGCGGAGGAAATTGTTAGTGTTTGTGGATAATAATAAAAAAGGACGACGAACAGAAAGTCCTCATCATATGGTTGAGAGAGTAACAAAATAACAAAACTAAAAAATAAATGGGAGACATTTACTGACTGAATTGGTTTTTGAAAAAATTAAAAAAAATATAATTTTAAACATAAATTACCATCAGATATTTATCCTATGGTAAAATAAACAAATAAAAATTATAAAAATATTGAAAATAAAAAAGGGAGATAGTGTGATCTCATATGAAATCACCTGTCAATAATAAGACAATAATATCAAAAGATTTTGAAGAGAAAAATTGAAAAGAAACCTTTGAAAAGAAGTTTGTAAACAAGTGGGGTGTAAGTGTGATTGTTGATAAAATTGTCGATGATGTGGTGTAATGAAATTGTTGATGTGTGAGTGTGATTGTTGATAAAATTGTCGATGATGTGGTGTAATGAAATTGTTGATGAAAAATTAGGACAACAATGAGTCTTATTTATAGATTTAGAATTAGGTTAATAATACTTACCAAGTAAGTCAGACTAAAAACCAAAAGAAAAAAACAGACAAAAAATATTTAAAACGCATCACAAAAGGTTCGGACTAGTGTCCTCATACTTGCAAGTTTCATTTTTTACCAATTGTATTATGTTATTAATTTGTAAATAAACTCAATTGAAAGTATATGAAAGGTGTGCAGATTTTTGCTATTTTAAAAATACAAATAATTTAAAATAAATTATTATATTTTTAACTGGACTTGAGAACGAATATTTATAAAACCCCAAAATATTAATGTAAATCAAAAGAATTTTATAAAAATCCAAATTTAAAATTAATTTCGACCATACTGATAAAGGGCGAACAAATTTAGAATATAACAATAACAAAAGAAAATAAATGATCCCGTTCAAGGAGAACACAGTTAGAATCTAAAGGATAACACAGTTAGAATCTAAAGGATAACACGAAAGTTAAGGCTCATATTCAAAGTTAAAATACAAGCATAAAATAATGGAGCTCGACCCTAATCACACTAAGGGATGAGAAGAGGCAATCACAAACCAGTAAAGAGTGAAAAACCCTAAAGACATACCAAGATAATGCAAAGTCACAAGACTTACCACGACTATACCAAAATAGGCTTGAGGGAAACTCTTCCTATCCAGTCTTTCAAAATAGGGTTGAGGGAAACTCTTCCTATCCGATCTTTGTGGCCTAATGAGACAAATCTCATAATAGTTACAAATATCAAAGATAAAAGATAAAGATATTTGTGACAAAAATAAATTATAGATATAATATCGTGATACAAATGTCTACTATCGAGTAGAAGGTTCTAAGACCTAGAAATTAGGCATAAACCTACCCTAAAAAGAACCTAGTCCAAGTAGCAAACTAAGGGAGAGTCGTTAGATATTAGAGCAAATTATATCACGTCATTTGTTAACATGAACGATTCTGATTAGAGTTAAAGCACAAGGGCCAATAGAAACCCTTATAAAAGGATCACAGGTGTAAAATCAAGATGCAGACAAAAATTCTTTAAAATTTTATACCTCTTATATCTTACCGTCACTAGGCGTCGAAGTTTCCTTCTAGTAAGGAACATAGAGATTAGTTCAAATGTACCTTTTATTTCTTTGCAATAAATAAAAAACAACAACCATGAACATCACACGAGTAAAATAAGCTCTACGACAACGAACAGGTGGTAACGACAAAAGAAACCTATCTTATAATTATAATCAATGAGAAAGTGTATCAACAACACATTAGAGTTTCAACCTAAAACACCAAATTCTTCAATTACGAACAGAAAAATATTAAAAATGTAAAACAAGAAAGATGAATATTTACAACCATTAGCCATGCCCTACAACTATCTTTTTGTTTACATTGATTTCTTGATGATGAAGATGGCTAAAACAAGTTTTGGAAACAAAGGAGAACAATGGTGATGTAATGGAAAAGGACATACAAAAGAACGACAATGGCACTGACACTAGAGTGGCCAATGAGAATAAACAAAACTACATACAAATAATCTACATGGCCTTTCATTGTTCCTAAGAGATTCCTTAACATCTTCGTATACCCTTTTTCTTCATATCTGATTTAAACAACACACTTCAGTTGAAATAGTAATTATGTTGTTCATAAATCGGCACCTTTTGGACCAAAAGTTGCAACAGCATCACCTACTGTTAGAAATATTTTATCTTCTCCGATTAAGCCCGATAACATCGATGCATGAAGCTTCTCAATTACAATAGGTCCCGGATTCGCCAATAGAAGCTGTCAAAAAAGATCACAAACATAAACAATTATTTACTACATATTGAATCTGTTTTATACATTATAATAATATCATCATAAATGTATTTCTTGGCACACAAGCAACCCATTCTATTTTACAAATTATTTTGTACCTGAATATCTCTTTTCTCGAGGCTCTTGAGTAAATCTTCAAAGGCATGAATGCCACTAGTATCAATATCAGTAACAGCTACAATAACATGGCTGCTTAATTAGTAAATTCAATTATCAAAATCACTCATGAAAAAAGGATTTCCTTAAAGGCCTTACGCGACATTTCAACAACGAGATACTGTATACTAGGAAATTCACTTGATGTTCTTTGTATCTCTTCATCTACCAGCCACTTCAATATTCTGTCCTTGATGTAGTTGGAGTTTGAGAAATAGATTGCAGAATCAACCCTGATAATAAGCATGCCGGGAATCTGAGATGCTTTGGGATACTGCAGAATGTTTCTGTAAACAGTTGTCCCTGGTAGCTTCCCAAGCACCGCGGTCCTTGGCCTCGTCACTTGTAAGAGAATTTTCGCAAAAGATATTGCCACCTGCATAAGTAAAAATGGTTTTAAATCGCAGTTGCAGTAACATCGATACTCAATTTTGTAAAAAACTACGGTCAAATATAGCTAAAAGTATTTGATATTTTGATTACTGCGATTAGAAGACCAATCTCAACACTTTGGAAGATGACACCAAAGAAGGCTCCCATGCAAGCTAGAAAATCAAATTTGTCAACCTTCCATAGAAGAATAGCCGCTTTAATGTCGATAAGGCTCATCACAGCAGTTATGATAATTGATGCAAGCACTGCATTTGGAGTGTACTTGAATAGCGGTGTAATTACCAACAGAGTTAACAACAAAACTATGGACATAACTATGTTTGATACAGCAGTTTTACAACCAGCCATATAGTTCACAGCCGAACGCGAAAATGATCCTGCAAAAATATCAGAAGCAAACTCATTAAGATGATTTACAAGGTTTTCAATAGAAGCTAAAACATGGTTGATTGAATTAGTCTTTTTTTGTACCGGTAGCCACATAACAAGATGTCATGGAACCGATAACGTTCATTGTTCCTAATGCCACCATTTCTCTGTTACCATCTATTGAATAGTCTTTCATAGCAGCAAATGTTCTCCCAATGGCCACAGCTTCCTATAAACATTTAACAAAAGTGTTTCAAATGTCACATAAATGTTAATGAAACAAAACAAAAGAGGAACACTGGGAAAACTTTTCTTACCGTGAGAGCTACCATGCCAGATATCACACCGATCCTAATACCAGCACTTAAATATTTTCCACTGAAATATATCTCATTAACAGATGATGGATTCACACCATTTCTTATATGTTTCACCTGAAACAACATACCTTTAAGTCTTACTTAGTACTTCATTTTATTTGAAACTATTCAAGAAATTGAAAGAAAATAGCTACTTACAATTGCTACTCCTTTCTTGTCGGCCCTTGTAATGTAAACACAAAAAGTAGAGACAATAACACATATCATAGGAGATATTGCAGCCACCCAAAACAGATTCTTTTTCTTCTTAGCCTATTCATTTCAACATAATCATATTCATATATAAAGGTTCAATAAATGGAAATGAAGAAAGGAAGAGAAATTGTTGGTATTCTTACAATATATTTTGTTGCAAGAAGGAAAGCCAAGAATGCTACTCCAATTACTATTGTCTCCCAATTCCACTGTAATCAAAGATTAAAACAAAAAAGTGGTAATAGCATAATCACTTATATAAGTGCCCGTTTCTTAGTTATTTCTGTAATAAAAGATAAAATAAAGTCGAAGTGTTTTCATATAAACCAATTCAAAAGAAAAGGAAAAGCTTACGCTGTGGTGGGCTGCACTAAAAACCGATCTCATGACAGAAATAATATCAGTTTTTTTAGTGAATTGTTTTATGCCAAGAAGACCTTTAAGCTGTTGGAGTGCAATAGTAATGGCAGCTCCACCCATGAATCCAACAATGGCAGCATGAGATAGGAAATCAATCAAGAAACCGAGCCTGTGAAATTCACCTCATATGGATTATAACATAACCAACATTTTAGTACCAATCCAACAATAGTACCTTAAAAGTCCAAGTGCCATTTGAGTGATTCCTGCAAAGAAAGTCGCTGTAAATACAAGTCGAAGATATTCGTGACTTTTGAAGTTAGGAATTTCATCGGTAAGCAAAGTGCCAAGCAAGAGAGACACAACAGCTACTGGTCCTATAGCAATATCTCTTGAACTTCCCATAAAAGCGTACACAAGAGGAGCAACAAAACTTGTATCTACAGAAACCAATTCATCATCATCATCTAACCGAACTAACAAATGAAAATTAGTTATAGAATAAATAAAGATTCTTACATAGTCCATAATGTGGTTCCAAGTTTGCAAGATTTGCATACGCAATATCCTGATACACATTCAAAATTTACACAAACATCTAATCAGGTTTCATCATAGTGTCGTGTGTCGTGTCATGTCATAATATTATTTCTCGAAATATCTATATACCTGAGGAATGCAAAGACTTGCAATGGTGAGTCCAGCAATCAAATCCCCCTTGAAACTTTTAAGATTGTAATATCTTCCCCACTCGAAAATCGGGAAAACAGTTTGGAGTCCAAGAACAAACCTTCTTGATCCTGTTTGATTCTTAAACTTGCCAAAAGGGTCATCTGAGAAGAATGTTTCATTGAAATTATGTTTGATATCTTGGAAAAGTGATTGCTTAGGAGGAGTTGAAACTTTGTGAATATGTGAAAGAATATTATCATCATCAGGTCTACGTGAAGAAAGATTGTTTTTTATTTCCTCCATTGCATTTGCCACAGCTTCATCACTAAGAACATGACTCATTTTAATTAATAGCTTTGTAATGCAAAATCAGAAACAGAAAGTAGCTTTTGTAATTTAGCATGCAAGTCTATTTTTCTTTGAAAAGTCTACATATTAGAAAAGTGTAGGTAGCTACGTAGTAACATTTAGTTATTTGAAGTTTAGCTTAAAGCTAAAAGAATCATATTGGAATCCTCGTTTAATTTGAATAAAGAATATTATTGAATCTTAGAGAGACATTGTGAAAGTACCAAAACAAGTGATGTCACCAGAGAGGACATTACCCTTGCACTTGTTTAAGTCACCTGGTGGATTTAAAGAGGCAATAAATCAATGGTTAGTATTAAATGGAAGAGAAATTGTAAGTTTGTGAAAAACGAAAAATATGAATTATGGTTTTTTAGCCCATGCAGTTAAGTACATTGTACACATGTAAGTAAGGGGATTATTTATTACACTTGTATTTCTCTCAAATCGCATAAGTATGGAATTATGTACTTGTAGACCTAATTAAAAAATGATCAAAAGTTCAATAAGAGATGTTTGTGTTGGGGTTATTTGAAAAAGTTTCACATCATTTATTTTTGTGAAAATAAAGCGAGTTCAAGGTTATATATATATGATTTAAAGTTATTATAAGTTTCAACGCTTAGTTTAGTGATGGAAGAGAGAATTAAATATTATATATAAGATTCAAGTTTTTCTTTACAAGATCTATCAGTCAAAAATACTTTAAGCTTGTATTTGATTTTTTATTTTCTCTTACTCTCTTGATTTAGAGTATTGTGAGAGATAGTTAAATATTTGTTTTGAAGAGTGTGGGTGTATTGGGGTCTTGGGTGTTTGAGGGTAGTTTATGTGTTGTAACAATTTTTACATATTGATATTCTCTGGTTGTCATTCGACAACGGTCATGATTTTTTCTTCAATTTTAGAATTTACACGTTAATCTCTTGTGTTGTTATTTTGTTCCTCCTTTTTTTCTATGTTTTGTTTTTTTCTTCCAACAGTTTGGCTCTGATAACATCATATTGTTAATGATCTACATGAAGATATAATATCTTTTAAAGTGTTTTTTATGACAACAATGCATGAAGACAAGCAAGTGATTAAATTGGTTCAAGCGATCGGCTGATCGTGTGTAATTGAGCGATCAGTATTTTATAAAAATAAAAAGGTGTTTTTCTAAAATAGCATAACTAAAATACAAACACACACTTAAAAGTAGTATAATCCCCAAAAATGTTTTTGAGACCTAACTATATGAATTGGAAACTATCAGATTGATTAGGACAAAATTTTGAATTGATTAATCGATTAGAACAATTACCTAATCGATTAGATAAGGGTGAATCAAATTCATAACTAATTACAACTGTGTCTTAATGAATAGTAACGACTCTCTATCAAAACTTTCAATTTGTGGTGCAGTAATCGATTATTGCAAATTTCTAATAAATTAACTAATCGATTATGTCATTTATTTTTCTCATGGATTGTTTTCTAATTCGAACCATCTATTGACTTATAAATAGAGAGTTTCCCTTTCATTTATTCACATTACAAAAAAAAAACGCGAATATCTCATTTTTCCTCTTTCTCTGAATATAATTTCCTTTCTCTCACTTGTATAACCATAAGTCTTTGAGAGTGTTTTTCAGTTTAGCAAGAAAATTATTTTGGAAAAAAGAAATATTGTAAATTTATCGAGAGTTATTTTTCATATTGAGTAAATTAATCTTTTGTAGAAAGTGTTTGTTTTGATTTGGAGTTAAACTAGTATAAAAGCTCTTTGGGTTCTGTGGTGGAAAAGCCCTTTCGTCAAACAATATTACAATGACCTTCCTTTAACTGTGGTGGAAGCATGGTTTTGGACTCTTTTTTTTGTTTATACTAAAAGGTATTTCA